TGGTGGCGCGGTTGCTTGTGCCACTGTCATTGGGTCCAAAACAATATCTTCCAGATTACCCAATGACAGTTCAATTTTCACAGCTGAAGCAAACGCAATCCTATCAGCTCTCAAATATATAAATAGACACCCTAAATATAAACAATACATAATCTTTTCCGACTCTCTGTCTTGCCTTCAGGCGATTAAAAATATTTCTTGTAAACATCCGCTTTAAATAGAAATTATAGAATTATATAATGATCTTGCAACTGGCCAATACGACATCGTCTTTTGTTGGTTACCCAGCCACGTTGGCATTTCTGGGAATATAATGGCCGATTTTGCTGCCAAGGCAGCACTCAACAAATCTGTGACACCACTTCTGATCCCATACTCTGATTATAAAGCCAGCATTAGAACATACATCCGCGATCTGATGCAGAAGTGGGATGCCCAAGTAGGTATCAATAAATTACATGCAATCAAACCAACTATCGGTTACACCTACTTGGGTTGTCAGTCCAGATTTGAGGAGGTCATCATACGACGATGTCGTATTGGCCACACAAGATATACTCATGAGTACCTATTGAAAGGTGAGGATCCTCCGTTTTGTATCCCTTGTGATGAAAGAATCACGGTCAAGCATTTCCTGCTTGACTATGTTGAATATTCCATCACAAGGGATAAGTATTTTAATGTCAAAACATTGAAGGATCTTTTTTATAATGTTAATTATCATTTAATAGTTGAATTTTTAAAAGAATTAGATTTGTTAACTGATTTGTAAATAGATATATATTTTATTATTGGTAATTTAAATTAGTCACTGAGATTGTTAGTGGCTGTACCCTCAAAGGGGGTTGACGTAGCGTAAAATTATTGTCCTCCTGAGAGGGTACGTAAGTCCCAAAACTTTCAAAGTAAAATATAAATTATCACATTTTAAACGTAGTATTTTTGTTATTTTAACTGTTGGCTAAATTTTCCTACAATCGCCAGCGGCTGAAGGGATGGTGTAAATCCAGCTAGGATCCATGCAGGTAGCAAAAGTAATGTAAGTCCCCATGGCTCCTAGCATGGTGATCTACCTTCAGTTGGTGGCGATCTATAGCCCATTTTTATATTGTGTTGTCCCCTATAGTTAAAATGTTTTAGATTCAATTACTAGTTTTACATGTATATCTGTGATACTCTAGTTGTTTTACTGTCCTTCGTCGGCAGGTGTTTTATAATATACATATATTTTATTTCAAATATCAAATGTTCTCGTCACGATATGGCTGAAATATTGCCGATGTGACGTTAAATAATAACTCACTCACTCACCTATTGTAGTAAGGTTCAAATCTATGTTCATACTTCTCCGTGTTAGGCTTGCAATTCCGCACAATGTTGTCCCTCGTTCGACCGAAGGCGGTTTTTTGTTGGCCTTGACTCAAGTCTTGATTAAGTTTTTGTTACATTATTCGCGTTTCTTACAGCTAATAGAGACGATGTGGGTAATTCCTTCAACTCATGGACGCGATATCATACGCAAGCTTTAAAATACTTTTACTTTGAATACGATAATGTACAATAGAATGGAGATTTTTTGTAAACAGTTACTGTTAACATCAACTTAATATTTTACTAACCGAGAGCCGCGATGCGGTCGGTTAATAATTTACTTATTATGTCAAGATGTTTAAAAATCCTAAATCATATTTCTGTATTTACTCAAGGGACTCGAATACAACGACAACAATTATCGGCTTCCATTAATGAAACTTTGTTATAAGAACAACCACCAGAACATAAGGCAACAGACCAATCAAAACATTTTTTAGCAATTTCCGTTTAGATGAATATCGAAAGGTTTAACAGGGTTCAAAGTTTGCTTTTGACTTTCTGATCATAGATAAGTAAACTAGAAAAATCACCAGCAAAAATCAAGATTTTATTTATGCTTAGCTATTTGTTATTCACGTGTAAATACACTGGCCCTGAGGGATAATTTGATTATCAACCTCTGGGTAAAATAGGTTTCCTTTGATAAGATTTTCATTGGAACAAGTAACTATGTTTATGTATTTCATTTCAGTTTTGAAGATGGGAAGGCATAAATACAGACTAACATTAAAGAGAAAAAAAGGCGGAGGTAACAATGCCTCAGCGCCAAGAGAACTCCCTTCGGACAAAGAAAATACCAGTGCTGACTCAAAAGAGACTGAACTGGATCACAGCACCCCTGTCAAGAAGCATTGCAGTGATTCATGGGGAATTCCTTTGTCTCCAATTAAGGAAAGTGAAAATAACACCCCTAACAGCATTTCACTTTGTATCGAAAATAATCAGACCAGTTCAGACCATGAAATAAGTGGACTGACATTGTGTGATAAATGTGGAAAGTGTGATGCAGCTTCAAAATCAGTGTCATGCATTCACAACTACAGTTCTGATGCCCTATGTGAGAAATGTGGAACAGAATGTTTGCGGACAGGCACCCACACTGTAAGAGGTAATATTGCTAGCAATGAAACACAATCAAAACATTGTGACATTGACTATCTTTCCACCTTGTGTGAAGCAGCACATGCTAAATTAATGGATATAGGGTAGAGGAGACTTCTTAGAAAAACTGTTGGAAGTTATAGTGTCGGGTAGACTTGACTTTGAATGGCTTACCTTTCAAATAATATCAGACACTGTAAATGCTCTGAGTGTAGAAATGAGTGCTCAAATGAGATTCTCATGGCAGTCCAAATGTTTCTGGAAGCTTCTAACAAAATGTGGAGGGATGGCTCTCCGATTGTTAGGCGGCTGGAAATCAATTGGAAGTATTTTGACAGAAGAGTGCAAACGTGGATTTCTTCATACAGAAAAATCAGACATTATTTTAGATGTCCCAGATGAAGAAAATTTGAAAAATTGATCCGTATGATGGAGAATGGCCCCAAAAACTTCCTCCTGGTTTCTCTGGTAAAATTGCGGCTACGGTTGCAAATTCTACCTCTGTACAAGAAAGCAGTGTATGTCTGTCTTTGGATGGAAAGAAAATCACCCCTCGACTCAAAGATGAAAGGGGAGAAATTGATCTCCTCGGAATGGAAGAAGATGGCATAACTTTACAAAAAAGACGGGAAACTTATGCAGAAGAACAAGAATTGATTGCAATAACCTGTCAGCTTGTCGAGGAGTCTCAGACCATATCACAAGAAAGTGAATTTGTACAATCTCTTCGGTGGAATATGACCCTCCTAAGTGAAAAATCAATAAAGCTGAATGAAGAACTTGATAAGAAGAATTATGCTCTTGACAGATTGAAGAAATTGGGTGGAGAAGACTACGAAAACTCACGGTACTGTTTTGTTATACAGCTGGTAACAGCAGCTCAAGTAAAACGAGAGTGCATGGAAACTGGTCGCAGTTTGAGAAATAAACTTGTGAAGATCCTTGCCACATTGCATAGGAAACAATCATTTGTTCTGGAATCGCCTGTTTGTCCTCTAATTTGCCAACTTTCTATGCCCTCCATGACATTGACAGTCTCGTGGACAGTGGCAATGAACGGAAAGAGGAGCTAGCAGCTTTCCTGTTACGTGAAGGGACACACTATGTGAAGCAGAGAAGTAAGGCCTGGTTCTCATTCCGAAAGGAAGAAAAGGTCACAGGAAGCACGATTTTCGCAGTTGTAGGAGCGGATGGACTAAAGGCACAACGGGAACACTTTCTGCAGAAATTGAGAGGAAAGGAAGTTCCGGAATTCACTCAGGAAGTACAGGATGCCATAAGACATGGCGAGAAGCATGAGCCAGATGCCCTTGCCACATTCTGCACAAGATTTATTCCTAGTTTTCTGCCTGATTGCGCAATTTACGAAGCTGGTTGTTTCCAAGTTAAGGCCGGAAGTGTTCCAATGTTGGTGTCCCCAGATGGAATAGTTACAAGGGAAGGCTACCGGTAAAGGGACCACATGGTCGGTATTGAGATAAGGACAGATTCATAATCTACAAGATTTCCCCCAATAAATGCAAAATGAATTAACCCGATATCTTTTAAACTGACAATGTAGTGCCCAGTTAAATGATGGTGGGGTTAGAATTTGGTAGAAATGCTTAAGTGAGAAAATACGGGTTAAAAGAGATGCGTGTATTCTTTCAGCCATAAAAGAATTATAAGTATGAAGTTACCGTGTGCTCATTTGAATGTGTGTTGTTAACAGATAAGGTGTGATAAAGCAAAAACGAATTTTATTTTCATCTGTTCAAATAGCGCGCGCATGCGTAATGGTCGAAGTGGTCCCTTTTTAGCTTAAGTTTTTATGATTATGCATGAATATTTTATTTACCCAATACACCTGGTAGATAACAAGTCATAAACGTGTGGTTATTTTAGACGAACAACTGGATACCTAGACATACAAAACAAAGTTATATTAATTTGATTTCTTTGATTGCATGCATTCTGAGGTTACAAAGACTTTGGGAGAGACAGTGGTCGTATTTTGATCAAACGGTTTTGGTCCGGAATCCTACTGGGATCTAGATATCTTCTCATGTAGTGACACTATTGTGCAATGCATGATATGAAGACTAAAGTTGCAACAGCAGGTTCCACTGTTCACAACTGTGTAGTTGCAGGCCTTCCCATTGAATTTACCCATGACGATCCGGGTTAGAATATTGAGCTTCAGTAACACATGCTCGTCGTAAGAATCGACTAACAGGATCGGGTGGTCAGGCTTGCTGACTTGGTTGACGCAGGTCATCGGTTCCCCACGCAGATCGATGCTCATTCGGTTGATCACTGTATTGTCTGGTCCAGACTCGATTATTTACAGACCGACGCCATATAGCTGGAACATTGCTTGATGAGGCGTAAAACTAAACTCACTCACTCACCCATTGAATTAATACTAGTTTGCAATGAGATACCGTTAAAACGCCGTAAAACCAACTCTCTCACATTGGTTAATAACAACTGAAATGGTGCTTGAATTTCAGATACTTTTATGTATAGAACCTTTATGACAAACGGAGACCCTGGAATGCCACCCATGCCTCCTTGAACAGTTCAACATAATGTTACGATCAATCAGTATCCACATGGTCTGCAGTGGCTGGTTTCATAATGTCTTCCCGTCTTTTAGGACAGACCAACCTACCCCTGATTGTTTGATTTCTGTGACCTGCCTGGAGACAGTAAGAACAAGTTGGGGTTTTACGCCTCTTCTTTTCTGGTGTTTGAAACACAAATGGTTCAATTTGCACTGTGCCTGTTTGTCTATTATCTTTGTTGGTTGGTCCATCATCATTCTGCGCATCCTGAACCATTGATGTCCCGGGTTCCGCAGTTGGCTCAGGTGGTACATATGCAGTGACTGCACACGGAAGAGGACAAAGTGTGTCTTTTGAGTCATCAGGAACATACTGTCTGATAGAATTGTACAGGTACAGCTTCCTGGCATAACTCAATCCTACTGGATGGATGATGTTTGGGAGCGATTTGTCCAGTGTAGAAACTTCACCAACTGTGAAACGGACACTATCGCTGTTCAAACTTGTTTTGCAGCTGACAATCCCTGGTGACTGGTTTGTGAAGAAGAAATGGTGAAACTTCTTTATCTCAGGTATTTTGTGGAATCCATGTGCCTTGAACTTAGACTGCCAGTCATATATCGGCACGAAAGTGTGGCCAGCTTCATCCCCGACAGCAACAGGGAAGACGTTCCCTGGGCAACACTCTCTTGCTATTCTCTGTACATCTGCCACTGATGAAGCCTGTTCACGTCGCCATCGCTTCTTAAACAATCCAAACAACAGATCTGGCCAAAACTTGGTGTGTCCAACAGGCATAAAGCTGATCTGAAATGACTGGTTCTGACCTGTAGCTGTACGCCAAAGACAGTATTGCATCATGAAATTGTTCTTGTTCTGACCACAGCAGTTGTCAGCATGACACAGCGAGTCGGTTTCTCCTACACTAAAGTTTGTGTAGAAGTGGTGAAGAAGTGAGATAACCACATTTGATCCTTTCCCACAATGAGCTGCTTCAGGTATAATGTAAAGGACAAATTTCCTGAGTGGTTCTACGGCAATTCCAAAGAGTCCAACCTTGTAGCCACATAGAAAGTATAAAGGTCCAACTTGTTGAGAATCCTGTGGCAAAAACACTTGCTGAGCAAAATCAAAACTCTGATGCATTTTACCTTTGTATGTCAGTAGCTGATGGGGCGAAAGGGTCAGTTCGGGGTGTCAACAGTTCAACGTCTTGACGACATTCGTCAATTATCGAAATGTAGAATCCACGTTCAGACGTCACTTGGTCAATATGTTCTACAACTCTTTTGGCAAGTTCTCGTTTTTTATTGTCGCAGAAAGTCTTGAGTTTCGACATGGTCATACTGTTCTGCTGACAAACAGCACACAGATCTGTTCTTGGTCTTTGGATAACAATGTGGGAACAAAACAACATCCATGTTGCATACCATGTGTGAACTGACACGGGTTCCTCGTCAGTGTCATGACACGCATCTTCGTATTTTCCGTATACAAGCTTTTTGGTCATGTGAGAAGGCAAAAGTTTTAAGTCAGTGTTTTTCCTTCCCGAAATGCGACCAGGCATCACTAAGGCATTCTGCTCACCATAGTTTTCAATGAACTGTACAGCCTTTTTTCGCTGTTCTAATGTGAGACATGTTGATTGATTGGTTTTATCTGCCCTGCCATGTTTCTTGGCATTTATTCCAGAAACTAACATATGCTCTTTGACGTTTTTAAGACGCTTAATACCCGACCCAAAAACAAACATGAAAAATTCTCGACAAACTGTGACACCTCTGAACATGTACGTTGTTCTGGTCTCCTTTCTTGGCTGAGGGGCATGACCTTTCTTCACGGTATGAGGCTGGTTCTGTACAAGGGTATTCAATGCTCCGAGCATTAAGATATGATGATGATTAACGTGATTATCACAATAAAAATCAAATTCAAGACAATCCAGTCTTGACTCCTGAATCATATCAAGTGGAAACTTCTTTGTGCAATTCCATGCACAACACCCACTTTCAATAAAGGATTGCACCTCCAGTTCACAATCAGAATGGGATAAGGGTATAGACAGAGTTGGAAGAGTCACTTCAACAACATCGCGGTCAACATCTAATTCAGACACATTAACAGTATCCTCTCCGTATTCTGGTGGTGTACAGAGGCTAGAATCTAAGCATGTTTCAGCAAAGTCTTCCAATACATCATTATTGCTTGCATTATTATCATCAGTACAAAAATATTCAGAAATAACATCCAGTGCTCCTGGTACATCGGCAATGCCTTTGCCAAAATCTAACAACTGTTCCTCAGCCATATTTGCTCAGTTACTTATACCAACCACAGTGCGAACACCAGTAAAAACCATCAGAATTGATGTCATGGACGGTTGTACTATCTGACAGATTGTCAACACAGAATAAATGGAACTGTCTGTGGCATGATGCACAGTATAGCCAGAGTGTTCCATCTGCGTCAGTCAAAACAGTGTTATCACTACAAACTAGTTCTGTTTCAAGTTTTGAGGGGTCAATAGCTGATAGCTGACACTCGTAGCAGACCCATATTTCTGCCTCGACAGAACTGTCACTTGCTGGACTGTTTGGGGGAGCAGACATTCTGAAAAAGCAAGATATACCTTCCAGTCAGAACAGTTACAAGTGTTCAGTATTTAACAGTTCATTTTGGAATATTGTATAATCGAAAAGTAAAAAAAATCAACTGCAAAAAAACAATTATAAAAAATCCACAAAACCCTGATTCTATAACATTCTGGTTAACCGCTTATGGCCCTTCTATTAATACATTTTTAACATACCTCTTATTGATGATTTCAATCTCAGCCTGATCAGAACTACTGCTTGTAGATTCTTCAACAAATCTAGTCTTATTTGAATAGGTTGACAAACTTTCAATTGATGACGGGATAGGGATATTGATTGCTCTACCCTCTACACTTTGATAATCGGAGGTGTCATTTCCCCATAATTCCATATGCTGATAAGGATGATTATCAAATGATTCGCCACATATTTGGCAAATTGTGGGATGATAATTCTTTTCTGGAATAACATGTCGTGGTATGGTGAATGAACGAAACTGTGGATCGACAAAGTTATGATGGGAAAAAGACCGAGATATATGCTCAAAACGGGGAATTGGTGGGTAACCAGGCCCTGTGTAACAACGGCTCAAGTCTGGTTCTGACTGCATACGCCTCAATGTATAAGGGTAGTGAGAGTTGTGCAAAGGCTCAGTGCACAAATCAAAATGATCAAGGTCATATTGGTACGTTTCCCATCCATATGTACCTTCATTTCTTGGTACAAAGTTATGTAAGTCTAAGTAATTCATTGAATTCGAGCTGTTTGTGCTTTCGGCCACTAAAATATTGGGTTTAACGGGTTTGTATAGTCTGTCCATAGTGAATGTACGTACTACCGTCAGGATTTTGAAACCTGAAAGGAAAAATTAATCTACTAAATTCCACTTACATTTTGTTTTCAATATTTAATTCAGTTCATAATAGTTGTTTACTGAAGAGGATCTTTCTAGGAGATTAAATTCTATTTTCATTGCAATAATGACACCAAAAAATAACCAAAACATCTTTATAAATAAAGGGACCAGGTGGTCGTAATAAGCACGTTGATTTTAGCTAAACAATATGTCTACGAAAAAAATATAATTAAGACAATTTTGGACAATAATTGAGTAGTCACACCTTCTTTGTATAATTACCAATGTAAAATACAACTTTGCAACCATGTAGCTATAAATCATATTGTATTATCAATGTTCAAACGCGGGCTCGTGTAAACTTACCCTCCACCGGAAGCAGGGTCAGGTCAAATGCCGGTCAAATTAGTTGCGATCAAGAACTCGGTTACGCTGTGAGGTTTAAATGAAAGGTGTCCAAAGAAGCACATGTAAAATATTGCCTAGTGAAGCCTTTCTCTGCCTCGTTTGACGTTTTTATACTGCATAAAAGGTTGCGCCGACCATGTGGTACCTTTATGGAACCTCTTAATATTTTAAGTTTTGAGGCTTTTATTGTAAACAATCTGTAATTCCAACAGTCAACACGTAACAAATGAGGGTTTTTAAACCATTAAAACACAAAAAATTTAAGAAAGATCGTGAAATTTAAGAGTTTTATTCATCGGTTCACGTTTCTGTCAGTATCTCTGAATCTGTGATCGACCATGTGGTCCCTTTACCGGTAGCCTTCCCCGTTGGATGTCAGTCCCAACGGCACATCCTATTATCAGTCTCAACTCCCTGGGGATCATACAACTCTTGCAGCAACAAGGCACACCGAGTTATTGTGGCTTTCTCATCCTTACGAGGTACCCATTCACAGCTGGGTGGACTGGGACACATAGTCAAAGTACTTTGTCCAAGTTTACTGCACGTTGCTGTACCCGCAACTGGGTGTTTGCACGTATTCATGTGGCCACCATTTGGTCATATACCAACGGATCCGTGGGTGCTTTGTGACAATACTGAAAGAGTCTGCACAAAAAGTTTACTCCAAGGTTTTTACACCCGGTCACCCGGATACATATACTCCTCACAAACAGTTTAGCAACACAAATTTTTAGTCTCATTAATTACATTTTCATTTATTGAAATTTCAGATCATGGCATGATACAATGGAAAGGTGAAACATGTACACACGACTAACAAAATGAAATTTTATTGATCAATAAAAGCTTGCAAATCGTCAAAACCATGTACCCGTGAAACAGTGGTGCAAAAGTGTAAAGTTCAAGTCAGTTTTGGACAGTGAAGCAGTGTTAAGTAACGCGTATGACCATCATGAGCACAAATCCAAGCTTCTGCACGTCTTTGCATTGGCCAAATGAGCCTTTAAAGTTGCTGTTGTGGAATGTTCTGCCATTCTCTCTGTAACGCCTGCTCAAGGTCATCCAGAGTCGGGAGGTGAACATGGAGACCGTAAACACGACTTCCAGTAATTTCACAAGCATGTTGAGTGGGATTAAGATCAGGTGACCTTGCTGGCCAGTCCATAGTGTGATGTTGTTGATCTAAACAACATCATTAACAACGCTTTCTCGGGCATTATCAACAATGAACGGGCATTCTCATCCATGAAAATGCAGTTTGGACCCGCTTGTTGTACCAGAGGAATGATTACATGAAAGGTTTTAACCGATCCGACAGCATATGTGCAATGTGGAGCACATTCTTGCCACATATTTTGCATGTTGTTTCTGAGGGTGGTCGTGTTCGGTAATGTTATCAATGTTGTCAGATAAATCAATTTGCCGGTCACTAAAGGTTATGTATTCTTTGAATATTTACCTTTCAGTAACATGCCGGCAAAAATTGCTATCGCGATTGATAAAGATATTACACTGAAAATACTTGTTGCTTAATGTTTGGTGAGGAATATATATAAAATATTATTCCAATATTCGTTCAAAAAATCAGGAGTAACACTTAGGGCACAATCCATATGAAAACAAAATCACATGTTTTTATCAACCAATAAACAATAAACAGACCTAATCTCTTGATACGCGTATTACTGATCTCAAGTAATAGAGTAATAACAATGGAATAATTCATCAATGACAAAAAACAAAACAAAAATTGATGATAGGATCTTCAGAAATTAAGATATTTAAGGACTAATATTTTCTCCTTCCGGTTTAGATTGGGATTGTGGTATCTGAGGTGAGGTGAAATGAAATGTAGTGCTACATTATTATTGTACTTACATACACAGACTGTGTGACATAGGCTCTTCTGCTCTTCGAACTATGGCTATGCACTGCTAGCCAGCTGACACAGTTTTTACTTTTCGAACTAGGTTGTATGTAGTGCTAGCCTGCTGACATAGTGTTGGTTCTTCAAACTAGGACGTATGCTGTGCTAGCCCGCTGACACAGTTTCAACTCTTCGAACTAGGCTATTTGCAGTGCTAGCCTGCTGACATAGTTTTGGCTCTTTGAAATAGAGCGTATGCAATGCAAACCTGCTGACATAGTTTCAACTCTTCGAACTAGTCTGTATGCAGTGCAAGCCCGCTGACACAGTTTCACCTCTTCGAACTAGGGCATATGCAGTGCTAGCCCACTGACACAGTTTCACCTCTTCGAACTAGGCTATATGCAGTGATAGCCTGCTGACATAGTTTTGGCTCTTCCAAATAGAGCGTATGCAATGCAAGCCTGCTGACATAGTTTCAACTCTTCGAACTAGTCTGTCTGCAGTGCAAGCGCGCTGACACAGTTTCACCTCTTCGAACTAGGGCATATGCAGTGCTAGCCCGCTGAAACAGTTTGACCTCTTCGAACTAGGGCATATGCAGTGCTAGCCTGCTGACATAGTTTCGGCTCTTCGAACTAGGACGTATGCAGTGCTAGCCCGCTGACACAGTTTCTGCTCTTCAAGCTAGCGTATGTGCGATGCTTGCCCGCTGACACAGTTTCAACTCTTTTTGAACTAGGATGTATGCAGTGCTAGCCTGCTGACACAGTTTTGGCTCTTTGAACTAGGACGTATGCAGTGCTAACCTGCTGACACAGTTTCGGTCCTTCGAACGAGAACGTATGCAGTGCTAGCCTGCTGACAAAGTTTTGGCCCTTCGAACTAGGTCGTATGCAGTGCTAGCCAGCTGACATAGTGTCGGCTCTTAGAACTAGGGCGTATGCAGTACTAGCCCGCTGACACAGTTTCGATGTGTGCGATGCTAGCCCGCTGACATAGTTTCAGCTCTTCGAAGTAGGGCGTATGTAGTACCAGCATTCCATGCCACGGTTTAACATACCCTCTCAGACACATCATACTGATTCCGAGACGACCAGTTCTTGTTTTATCCATAATGCCGAGCGCCAAGCATGGTGCCAAGTGAAATAGTCTCATGTTATTTGGTATGACGTGACCAGGGGATCGAGCCACCGGCCCTTCGCAAAGACCGAAAGACTGTTTCCACTAGGCCATGAAGGTGATCAACTATGGTATGTGGGTAAATGTATTTGTATGTTTAATAATGAGTTTGTCATATGGGGAAATGATATATATTGTAAGTGTAATGGGTACGCACTCTAAATCTAGACACAACTTACTTCCTGAGCAACAGTTGATTGGTAGACACTTTTGTCATATGTCCACATATGGCATGGCTCGGTATTGTTGTTCGAAAAACCTGACGATGCCATTGTAGAAGCTGAGAAAATCTCGCAGGACGAATACTTCCAACCTCCATCGCTGCCATCCACATAAGGTACTGTCACGTTGATGAGGTCGGCATGAACCTGGTTCTGAACGTTGAACGTATCGTTCACCAGCCCAGGGATGGCGCACCTGCAGTTTAGATAATGTGTCTAACATTGTAACAGCGGTCGTGTGGCCCAGTGGTTAAAGTGTTCGCTCGTCACATCGTAGGTTTATTTTTTTTATATTTTGGGGTCGATTCACCATACAGGTATCATGTATTGAGCCAGTGACCCCGACGTGAATTTGCAAGAATATTTCTAAAAACCTTGGACCGCCTCCGTGGTGTAGTGGTTATTAAAACAAAATAATCTCATAATGAAAAGGAGCCAAGAGATTTTCTTCATTTTCAGACTTGACACATATCAAACATGGGCTTTCTTGATTGTATTTGTTTCAGGGTCTGTATGACAGACTAGGGGGTCACATCATCTACCAACCGAATCGGACCCACAAAGCTACGACACCCCATCGTGAGATGAC